GCACCCCCCGCCGGCCGGGTTTTGGGCTCCCACTGAGGGTTCTGAAACAGTGAAACGGCAGCAGCGACACAACCGAAAGCCCTGCTTGAAAGGCAGACGAAAAAAGCGCGGTGTGCATTTTGAGAGCATCGAGGAACGCTCCGACGCGCTCATTACGACGTCGTTCTCGTCTCGGAAAAGTCCCCAGCAGCCCTTCGCCACGCTCCCCCAGCCACCCCAGAAGGTGTGCGAGCCCCTGAGCCCTCATCGCTGCAGAGCCCAGGCTTGCCGAGCTTCGCGTACGCGACTGAAATGGCGTGAATTTGCAGTACTGGATCAGCTCTTTGAAATTTTTGACCCTGTATTGCATTCGCTGTGGCTTTACTTACTGCACATGGTGGTTTATAATTTGAAGGAGCAGGGCAAACGCTAAATAAATCTATCGCATGAACAGACTGTTTCTCAGGTCATGAAATATCAGCGATATTCGGGTAAACTACCCCATAAAGCTCATTCTCTCAATGGCATTTTTTTTTAGGTTGGTTAAAAATGCCAAACTTTGCCTCCTGCTTCATCTACTCTTTAATGAATGCCTCTGGTTACGAAAGGCAACTTGTGACAGACCATCAGGTTAGATCCGTGTCTCCATGGAGATACTCTGGACGGGAAGCGGCTGAGAAGACCTCCACCATCCCTCACACGTTATATTCACCAGCACAATCAGCGCAACTCAAATGAATCCACCCCGGGTAACTTGGAGGAGTCACCAGCTACAGCTTTCATTTTCGCTTTTACTCTCTGGAATTCGGACTTGCCCTGGAGCTCTTGTTTGAGAGATTTGCAGGTGACCCAGGGTTAGATCTTCCCACATCAGTTAACAAATTTTCTCTTTACATATATACTGCTTTTCAAGCCAGCGATATTTTTTTTAATAGAAAAATATATAAACCAACAAATCATACAGTTATGATTTTTAAGGGAAGCTCCGCAGTAGAGCATTTATTTTCCTAATCCAGGGAACTGTGGATTTTCAAAGTACACATAACTTACTTTTAATCTTTACGAAGGAAGGTTAAGTTTTATTGAACGGCAGAAACGACAAACAGTGTCTCCTGTTGACAAATGACCAACACCGACTTGCTTTGTCTCTGCCCCGATATAAATGGAAAAGGAATACATAAGCGTACTGCGTTTACACACGGTCTTCACCGCCATGGGTTTTACTCTTCCTCTGGGATCAAAGCATGATCTTCACACTTCTTTTACAAAGTCTCGCAAAACTGCGTGGTTGTACTTCCGAAAGAAGCCAAAGCACCAGACCAGTCAGACTGACCCCCACTAATTTGTTCCTGATTTTCCAGACATCGCCCTCATCCCAACCTGGGCGTTTTGCAGCTGGCAAACTCCACTCACTGCCACAAAACAGAGGACACAAAAAGGAGAAAAAGAATTTCAAAATAAAAAAAAAGACAATTCACAACAACCTTAATATTAAATATATTCTTACAATTATATTACGCTGGTTTTCCCAGAGGTCTACAAACAAATTTATATGAAGAGATTATTTCATCCACCACTGAACTGCAGCCACTTCTCACGGAAATCTGTCTACCAGAGTTTCGTAACACGTTTCAACAAGGCAGGCACGAAACACTGCACACTGTTGGAATAACGGAGGGAGTGGGAGAATCACCAACTGCTGCTACGCTGGGGCAGGACCAGGATGCCAATGGGAACGCGTTCCTCAATCAGC